AACCCCCAACATTCTGTGATTCTGTGATTACAAAGTTGAATGTTAACCACAGCTACCTGAGTACAAACCACCTCAACAGTATCTCTGCATTCTCCCAAACTGGTTTATTAAAGCTGTAAAGGCAGCAGATGACTTACCCTTTCCCCTTGTCTTTTCGAGACTCAATTACGGTCCCCTCTACCAGACCTGTGGCATCTGCCTTCAGTTCTAACATCTCTGCTAAGGCAACAGTCGCTTCGGCTAAAACCATCAGGTTTTCACCCTGTATAAAGCCATACACACAAAAATATATGAATAAGGGAAGTGCCAAGTGCTCAGTTAAAGTAAGAAAGTTGAAATCTTAGTGCCAAATTCCTCCATTTAATTCTGAACTTCTACCAATACAATACAGTCCCACAGCACAGGTCTCTCTGCCTTCAAGGTAAGACGGCACTACTGTAATGAACCATCAAGGCTGCTCCACATCCAGTCCAGAATGCAGGAAGGACAGTTTCTCACGGCATCCAGATTAAGGATTCAGAAAAAGACCTTGCAATATGCTACTACAGATGTAATAGTAATGCAAATTAAATAAAACCCCAAAACTAAAAGAAACAAAACACCTGAACAGCCTGATTGAAACTTGATTTACCACCCAGTCAAGACTCCAGGACAACAAAGACACAAAACTTATATTGTTTTTTGTTTGGTTGGTTTAGGGTTTTCTGTTTGGTTGGTTTAGGGTTTTTTTGCCCATTTGTTTCCTTCGTTCTAACTACATTTTGTTTTTGAGAACAGATACTATGAACTAGCTGACAGCAGATCGAGACATACGGGAAGTAGGGCAACAATGTGTGCTACAGAGGTGAACAGAGAAATTATTTTCACATATGTCTATTTTAAAGTGCAAAAGCATGATCTGAAACGGTCTTGAGCTTGCATGAAATTTTAGAAAATTACTTGGAATGGACTCAGAAAGACGCAATAAAGCCAAGGTGCTGCTCCATCGGTTTGGACAAAGGTGATTTGACCACCACAAAACTAAAGGTCAGATTTTAGTTCAGTTTTTGGCTATCAGTTGTTTGCAAGGATATGATGGTAAATCTTCTAAGACCTCTATAGAACTACATCCCTGAGATCAGAAAAAGGTGTTAAGAAAACATATATTCACCCTTGTTTCAATTCTCCTCATGCACAGCATTATTACCGACCTTGATATCTCACTAATTTCATACAATGAGCAGATAGCAACTAGGATTAACCTGACAAATATACACTAAATTTCCAAAAGAAAAATGAGGTATTATTGCTCACTGAAGGTCTGAGCCTCAAAATGCAACAGGATTATGTTTCAAATTATTCTGGTGAGAGTCAGCAGCAGTTAGCTCATGGTAAGGTATCAAATACCAGAAAGATAAGCATTTTACTTTCCAGGTGCCAAATAAAAATGTATCTATAAGCACATATTAGACACTCCTGAACACCAACATTTTTTTCCACCAAAGCTTTACCTTGAGCGCAGAAATATTTACAGCTTGAACATCGCCTCCAAACTCTTCACAGACCACATCATGAGCCAACAATTCCTTTTTCACTCTTTCAGGATCAGCCTCAGGCTTGTCACATTTATTAATGGCGAGGATAAGAGGAACTGAAAGGAGAACAAACTCATTACCACCTTAACCAAAACTTGCTGCCACTAGCACAACTGCAATAAAACGTTAAGAGCAGGCTACCACCACTTAGAACAAATGACCTCACCTGGTGCCTATTCCCTGAGCAGCCTCTGAGATCTGAGCTGCCAGGAGTAAGCTGGAGGAGTTATCTTAGTAGGGAAGGCAAAACCAGCCACCCAACAACCACCCCTCCCACAAGCCCCATGAGTGCTTTTCTCACAAATCTGCAAGTCCTACAAAAATGTTAGTATTTTAGTATCTGCATGTATTACTGCAACATTCAGTATATTTTCAAACACCTTCCTAGAAGAAAAGGAATGGGACTATGGCCGTTACTTCCCAAGTTCTGCGGATTCCAGTTTCTTTTCAGAGACGAATAAACACTTGCAAGGCGCTAATTATTTGAACTGCGTAGCAAACACACACCTCTTATACTACCTTTGAGTACCAGGCTTGCCACTTGCTTCAAAATGTAGTATTACCAAGTTAAACACCGTACCTCCCGCATTTTTAGCATGTTGAATGGATTCTATAGTTTGTTGCATTACTCCATCTTCTGCCGCTACAACCAGTATGACGATGTCAGTGACATGGGTACCTCTTGCTCGCATGGCTGAAAAAGCTGCATGTCCAGGCGTATCGAGAAAAGTTATCTTTTCCCCAGAAGGCAAATGCACTGTGAACAAATGTATATGGTCCATTTTAAAATCAACATTCAACCTACTGTAAATCCAGCATCACTCCTTTAAGAACTTTTTAAATAATAATGACATATTTTAGGCAGCCAGATTACTGCTAGCATGGAGGTAAAGGTGCTTTTAACTCCTCAGGAAAGAAAAAGGGTCCTGGGATACTTCACAATCCAAAATAGTCTAAATATAATTTCAATGGTGCAGCCAATCCACTTCAAAGTTCCATTCACACAGTTATGATTATTACAAGTTACGATTTCCTTTTTCACTGCTTACATATAAACTATTTATGTCACATTTGTTCCCAGTCAATTGGCAGCAAGTCAGTCCATTAGGCAAGACAGAGTAAACCATTTCATACATGAGCACATACACTGTCACCGTACCAAGAAAAGCACCGATGTGTTGCGTAATGCCTCCTGCTTCCATTGATGCCACTTGAGTTTTTCGTAGACTGTCAAGTAAGGTTGTTTTCCCATGATCGACATGCCCCAAAATAGTAACAACTGGGGGCCGCGGGGTTAGAAGCGCTGGGTCTGCAGGAGGCCTAGATTTAAAACAAAAACATCTTTTGTAAATACCAGAAAAGTTGACTGAGTGACATGCATGCCCACTATGGCTTACAGAGAGCCGTTTACCAGAATTCAGTGATGAACAGGTGAGCTGGCTTCTCCCCACTGGGATCACAAATCCCAGCCACACCACACAGTCTGCCCTCTTAGTGCTCGGTCTTACTGCTGCATCAATTGATACAGCGATTCAGTGTATCAAAGAAAAACTGGCCAAAGAAATAAGAACAGCAAACTTTACCTTTTAAATATTATCACACTGTGACTCTGTCAGGTATTATCAACATACCACCAGAGCAAAGAAAATACAACATTTGAAATACGCTTGCAGAAACAAAAAGAATTAAGAGCCAAAGAGAACAGCTCACAGTTTACCGTTTCACAGCATCTGTGTTTTCTCTTTCTTTTTCCTCTTTGAGTTTTGCTGATTTATACTTCATTCCTGATTTTTTAACAATTAGCTTGATATGGTCTTCATGTAAGATGGAATCTGGTTCTAGTGAATTGACATTCACATCTGTGTATAGCAGCGCTTCATAAATATGATCTGTAGAAAAGATAAAGACATTTAACAATGGCATCCACAAAAAGATCTGGGAAACCCTCTCCCCATTTCACGCAGTTTAAAGTTTTTTCATTAGTAGTTTATATTGTGCTAATAAGTTTCATTCACAAAGCATTTTTCCTTTAGTTAAGATTTAAATAAAAGTTCCTGTTATGCTATGTACTGGCAGAGAACAACTTGATTCAGCAAGAGTTACTGAAAATGACTGCTAAAAATCTTATTTTTCACTCAGATTTTCATGTCAACCCTTAAGAGGAAATCAAGTGAAACTCATCTAAATCAAATTTCCAAGAGGTGATGCAAGAAGGAAGGAAATTTGATAAACTTGTCCATTTGGTAGTAGAAATACAGAACATACTGCAAAGTCAAACATTGTTACCTGCTGACCTAAGTACCATCACAAATCTATCTCAGAAATGCACAGCAAGACAGGACAGACTTTTCTGCTTCTCTCCTCATTGCTGAGAGGAAAGTTTGCCAAAAAAAGTACCCAGCTAGAAAAAAAGGAGACTGGGGACTGGTATTATACAGGTATGGCATTATTTCAAATGTCAATAGTAAAAATATGCTAATAACCCCCCTCAAATATCATTGAAAACCCGTCAAGGTGAGCCACTACACAACTGGGAATGGTCCGTGAGATTAAAAGCACAAGCCTGCTTCTGTAGTAACCCAGTTGTTAGAGCAGCCACCTAAACAGGGGAGTCCAGACAAGTCCTGCCCACTGCCAGTTAATCAAAGAGCTGTTTTTATGAACTACATATTGCTCAAAAAAAATTAAGAATACTCTCTCAAACAACAGAGCAGGCTCTCACCTATGTCTTTACCCATAGCTGCCGCAAGTTCCTCAATAGTCATCCTCTGCTTTATCTCCACTTCACCTTTTGTCAGTGGCATCTTCTTTTTCTTCTTTTTTACCTCCTACATGGAATTAGACACTTATATTGGAACACACAGCTGGCATAAACCAAAAAACAATAAAAACAATATTAAAAAGACAATAGACTCAAGTCATATGATGTAAACACATCCGGTTTACTACAGTACCAATGAGTTACAACAAACGAATGACTTATCATATTGAATAGTCAAAATGTATAGCATAATACACTTAATCTTTTTTCCTTTTTAATTTTTTGAAACAAGGGGAAATAATTCTACCAATTCATTTTCATTTTTGTTTGCAACAATTTTCTCCTGCCTCTGCAAGATTCATGATGCTGCTGGTATAAACACCTTAAGTCAATATTTGAGAGGCAGTTAACAGTACAGTCATATGTTAAACAAATTTTGCCTTAAAAATTTACAGTAACTCTATATGCACTAATAAAGCTTCTCTTTTTCGTAATTAAAATGCTCAATCTGAGCTCTTGCACTTTGAAGTTTCACAGAAAGCCAGAGATTACTGGATTTGTTTAGTTACCTCCTTTGTAGCTAGATGCCTGCATTGTGATAAGGCAACAGTGGCCAATTTGGGTTTTTGCCAGAAGTGTGGATACAGAAGAAGGGACGACATGGGGTGTGCAGATGACTGCACAGGCTTCCATTGTGCTCTGTAAACTCTTCTGTAGGAGAGAGTACGCAGCTGCCGGCAAGCACTACGTAACTGGATCAGATTTTCAAACTTCAGTAGCAACCCTCGATTCATCTCACTGAAAATACAAAGGTCACACTGAACTCAGTCTCAAAGCTGAAAAATACTCTTTGCTATGATAATATGGACAGGAAAACAACGCACAAATGTTCTGTTTCAAAATAGGCTTTTTAATGCTGACAAAGTTGAACTATTGTCTGTTCCAGCTTTTCAGTTTCCTTTCTCCGCTATCCCACTGCAGACATGAAGATGTACTAATACTGACACAGCTTGCAAATCTTTCACCCATCTCCACCAATCTTTAATACAAACCACTAAAATCCCCATTTCAGGTTCTTTGACACTACTTAGAAAAAAAAGAGGGGCATCCGCATTCTTTTGTGCTGGCCTGAGTTATCGAGGTGCAACCTACTTCTCTGAGCCAGTAGGAGACATTTGCAAAATGCTGCTTACATGAGTATATACCACCACTGCAGGACCAGAGCACTGCACCAACGCCAGTGTTGTTACACGGACTGAGATGTCCTTTGAGGCCAAACCTCAGCTTGTCAATTCAGCTTTCCCAGATACCTCCGTCAGATCACCTCATGTCTTGTTTTAAACACCTGAACTTTGGCTTGAGTCCCTTTGCTAACTACCCTGTAAGGCAGACTCCTATCTGAACTTCCCTCCTTGTTCAGAGTTGCTTATTTTGTGCTCTTGCTGGGTGAGGCCACTCTCTGCACCCCCTGCGCCTTCCCTCGGAGGCGGCTCTGTACCACCTGCTTGGGAAAGCAGTTCCAGATGAGCGAAAAGCTCAGTTCCTCTCAGAATGACTGCGCTCCCCTTAAAAACCCTCTTGTATCCTGCAGGAAGTGAGCAGATGACAAACTAACCAAGGCAAAACATTTTTTTTAAGGGGCGTAATGGGTAAAGCCGTGGAATCGCCGCACACACCGAGAA